ATTTTTTTTTTCAAACCTATATTTAATTTTTACAAAACACATTTTCAAACTCATCTGGATGGCTGATAGCACTTCCCTCGTTTTCTTCACCTCTGCTGTGTCATCAAATCAATGTCCTTTCATGTCCCTCTTCATTTGTAGAGACAAAAAGAAATGGCAAGGAGTGAAATCAGTGAGTAAAGTACATGGGGCAGGAGAGGCATGCTGTTTTTTGCCAAAAAGTGGTGCACTGAGATGGCTACATCAGCAGGTGCATTGTCGTGGTGGCAAAAACAGTCCTGTCTGCCACAAATCATACTTTTGGTTACACAGTTACACAATCTTTTCAGAACCTCTAAATAGAAAGCTTGAATAACAGTCTGACCTGGTGGAATAAATTCCAAATGCACTATCCCATTCATATACAAAAAACCCCCCAAACAAACCAAATTAGCATTGTCTTGATCTTTGATTTCATTTCACGAGTTTTTTTTGAGTCGAGGTGATAATGTCTTCCACTGGCTTGATTGATGTTTGCTTTCAGAGTCCTTAGCACCATGTCTCTTCACTGGTAATGACCTTGGGAAAAAAGTCTGGGTCGCTTTGGAACTGTTCTTTCAAAGAATGGCATGGTACTACTTGATGCTTTTTCCTGGTCAGACAGAACCCAATGCACAAAACTTGCAGTGACCCTTCTCATTCCCCAAATCATGTTAAAATTTGCTGAGTTGAGGTCCAAGACAGTCCTGGTAACGCCATCTCTTAAATGGTCCCTGTCGGTCTTCAAGCACAAGTGCACAAATTTTGTCAACACTTTTCATCTGTTCTGGAAGTTGACAGGCCTCCTGAACGAGGTTTGTCATCAATCAACATTTTACCTTTTCTGAAAGGAGGAAACCACTTGCACACTTGAGTTTTCCCATAGCACTCTCCTTGTAAGGTGTGTTCAACATCACAGTAGTTTTTGCAGCATTTTTCCTGGAAGGAAACAAAATTTCACAGCCACAGTTCTCTTAAACTGGCCATCACAAAAACCATTAGAACGAAACTTTTATGAAAAAATTCAGTGACCAGAGAACCTTTCCAGGCGATGCCACTGAGTGACCTAATTCGGTGTGCCACTCCATGAACTCCATGCTCACCTAGTGGGAAAAATGCATACTTTTTCTGTTTTTTTTGTGGGGTACCTCTCGTAACATTCTGTCACATAGTGTACTCTTATTGGTATAAATATGAGGGGGCTTTGAAAATTCTGTGGAAAAATTCCAGTATCTTTTTAATTCTATTTGCCATAAGCTTTTTTTTTATGGTACATTTATTTTTTAAGTTTTAATGGCATACACTCCATATATCAAACAATTTAATCAATCATATGAAAGATTTGTGCAATCACCACCAATTGCAGAATATCTTCTCATACTCAATGTTGTTAGCTCCCCATTCTATAACTCTATTGTCCAGGAACTTTTTGAAGCTGCTTCGTTTATGGGGTGACATATCTGTGTGGTAAAACATACATGGCTTTTAAAAAATTTCCCCCCAGAGAATATAAAAGAACTGGGAGGCTGGAAGACTGACTTTACAAACTGTTGAACAGGTTTCCAGAGTGAGTAATGCCACCCCCGGGCAGCCACTGGGAAGAGTGGGGTGGGCTGTGAGAACAGGTACCCACATTCTCCCCCAGTTTATGGTCTACATAGCATTGACATTTCTAATTGCCATGACAGGAGTTTCTTTCCTGAAATCGGGGAGATGGGCCAGATACTTTGGAAATTTTATAAAATGTTATACTTTTTTCCACTGATTCAAAAACAAAATTTTACATTCTATGCTTGCTTGAATACTTCAATACTTTAAAATGTCTTTAATTAGCTTGAATGATAAAGGCCTTAAAGTCAACTTGTTAAATTCATTCAAATCAGAGTATCAGATTTCCGAATAGTGTATATAAATTAAAAAATGCTTTTTGTTCTATATAGTAATTTAATCAACATGAGGCAGTGTTTATAGTCACGGTTTAATGAAGTTGAGTTTTAGCATATTATGTATACTTATATATGTATGACATAGCAGAGTTTGCCAAATCACACAATCCCAAGGTCTTATTTAAAAGTAAAAAAAGAATAGATCAAATCTTCCTAGAGAGGTCTGCTGCAGAACACAGTGGGCATTTGGTTCTTTTGAAATGGTACAAGCGTATAATAAGAAATAGGACCATTTGTTAATTCATTTTCATAGGTAGCTTTATTTGGTTTTTAGAAAAATATACACAATAATCTGAACCTCCGTTCACTTAAATAGTTTTAAATTAAAAGTATGAAAGTAAGAGGATGACTATGTTTATGCAGTCAGAACATACAATACTGTTTAAGAAAAGAGCAGATGGAATTTCTGCAGCATGTCAAAAATATTCACAGGAATGATAGGAATTGAGCAAGAGCAGCTTGTGGCTGACAGCTTAGCTAGCTCATGACACTGTAGTGGAACTATCCATTTGATCTGTCTTCTTTAAATTTGAAAAAGGAATTAAAGATTTATATAGTCACCTATCCTAAGTGTCAGATAGATATTGAGTAAATGCTGTGCGTGAAAGTTATCTGAATTTGTGCCTCGAGGGTTTGAGTTTGGCATTCAGTTCAATTTAGATATATTACAGATTACCTTCAGTCACGGGTCAACTGGTATTTGATGGAACAAAACCCAAAGGCTTGGGGGTATTAATGCCACTTAGTTGGACGGAACCCTGCTGTCTCCTGAACATTCTCCCTAGTGAATCCACAGGGTCCAGCAGTGTTTGCACGGTCTTTCAGTTTGGCAGACCCCTCCTGGGCTTCTATGTAATTGTGAGAAGTTAAGCCAAGAGGCAGTAGGAGTTGCCTTATCTTTGCTTCGAGTCTACCCTTTCCACCATTCTGCAGTTGCTATCAGGAGCACTGGTGGTGCAGTGGCTGTTATACTGCTAACCAAAATGTCAGCAGTTTGAATCAACCCCCCAGTGGATCCATGGGAGAAAGGGCCTGGTGCTCCTTCTGCCATAAAAAACAGCCTTGGAAACCTGTGGGGTACTTCTGCTCTGTCCTCCAAGGTCACTGAGTCGGGATCATTTTGCAGTCTAGGGCAACAACAACACAGTTACTACAGATCTCCACTTCTCCAGGGTCTTGTCTCCTCTACTTTGGGGGATCTTCCAAGAGCTGAAGCCACAATAGTGCACCAGCCAGAGGCAAGTTTGTCATGGGATTTCCTGGAGAGCTCAAAGGGACTAAACTGCACAACAACTGGCACCACTCACCACCAGCTTCCCTCGCCAGATACATCTGCTAACTAAGCACAGCAAGGAGGCAAACATCACAAGCAACATCTGGCTGGGTCTCTTTGGGAGAGGGACGTGATAGGAAATAAGCAAATTAATAAGGAGAGCTGTTGGTTCACTTAAGAATGAGAGGAGAGAGACTGGTATTTTGTTCTCTGTTCATCTATTTCTTGCTTGGTTTTTTTGATGCAACTAAAGATCTCCTTAAAAAGCGCTTTGTATTCTGGGGGCGTTGCAGCAGTGGGGGAACCGATGGGCTCTGGGGTCACACAGGTTGGCTCCCAGCTCCCAGCGGCAGGCTCAGGCTGGGCCTTCACTGCTGTCAGGTCCTTGGCTGGGGCCCTGGAGGTCTGCACAGCTTTGTGTGACAGGGAATCCTGTTCCTGCTGGCATTTCTTCAGCAGCTCTTCATACTTCACCTTTAGGCCCCTGTACTGAGTGTCCACTTCATGCAGAAGGGAGATGCCCCTCTGCTTCACGGCCTTGGCCCTCCTGATGCAGGTCTCCTCATGGCCCTTCACGATGTCACCCCCAGCCAAGCTGCTTAGCACGGTCTCACTGCTGCTGCGCTTGAGCGGCTTTCTGGGGGCTTCTGGCACAGCCAGGAACATCTCTTCCAGCAGGCTCTGACTGGGCTCTTTGAATGGGACAAACAGTGAGTCTGGCACCAGCTTCTCAACTCCATTCACAAAAGGATGCTCCGCCTGCAGCATTTGTCGCATCTCCATCACCTCGGCCTCTAGCTCCAGTGCCCGGGATCGGCAGGCATCCATGGCCACCAGCTGCTGTTCCAGCTCACTGTTCTCTGTCAGCACCAGCCCGTACTCCTCGTCCAGGGCCACCCGCTTCTGCCGCTCCACGCCCAGCTGGGCCTGGAGCACTGCCACTGTTTTTTTCAGGTGTTCGTTTTCTTCTTCGTCAGGCCTCTGCTGACTCTGCAGGGAAGTTATCTTCTCCGCAAACACGTGGTCGTACACAAAGTGTCTAGGGGGAAGGCGTTGAAAGAAAATGAAAATGAGAATGAGAGACAGTTGATATTTTCACCAGGGTATATTCAAAGAAAAGCGCTGTGACTGGATGCTAGCTTATTCTCACAAGAGGACAGTGATTAAAAATAAATTGTGTGAGCTTGGTAAATAAACACTTATAAATCCTCGTGACTAATTTAAAAAAAACCTACCAGAACACCCATTCCCAGAGACTAATAGTAAAACAGCTACTTGCAAGGACATCAGAACAGCCCAAGCGTTCTCAACCTTGGCTGCGTCTCCACATCACCTGGGTGGTTTGAAGGGCCCCAGCCTCTTCGATTCTGAGCTCATGAGCCATGGTCTGGCCACTGGGCTCATTCCGCACACTCTCCAGGGGATGAATCATGTGCAGCCACGATTTCCTCGTGGGATTTTGGCTGATCTGCGTCTCCACTGGTCTGAAAGCTCCAAGAGGGCAGCAACCATTGTCTGCTTGGTTCACCAAGCAGTCCTCACGCCAGGCACAAACGCCTAACAAGCCACTGCCATCAGTTCCGACTCAGAGTGACTCTATACAATAGCGGTTCTCAACCTGCCTCATGCTGAGACCCTTTCATACAGTTCCTCCGGTTGTGGTGACCCCCAACCATAAAATTATTGTCATTGCTACCTCATCACTGTCATTTTGCTACTGTTATGAATCATAATGTTAAGTATATGATATGCAGGATGTATTTTCTTTTTTTTGTTCTCTTTTAAAAAGAATTATATTAGGGGCTTGTAAAACTCATCACAATCCATCCATACATACATTGTGTCAAGCACATTTGTTGCCATCATCATTCTCAAAACATTTGCTTTCTAGTTGAGCCCTTGG